TATCTTATCTTATCTTATCTTATCTTATCTTATCTTATCTTATCTTAGGCTGACCTAACAAACCACAATTTAACCAAAACTTTAACATTTTCAGCTATTTAAGACATAAGCAGCAGCTGCCCCTTTTTTACTTGAAACATAGCATCCTGTGTGAAAAACTGTCCAGCTAGCAGAATCTGACAACACAACTTTTGTCCGGACACACATGTGAAACAGTTTGAGGTGCTGAGAGGAAGGGAAAAAAAGAAAGGGAAAAAAAGACGATTAAGCCACAAATGGCTTCTGTTTAACTATGGAAAACAGAAAAACCATCGTCCCCTTAAATCAAGTTAATATTTTTTATTTGCACCTTTGCTCTCAGAAAAAGTGCTCCCATGCATACAGATTTTCGTAAAGTGAGAGTGTTCAGAGTATCTGAGAAAACTTGCCACAGTTCTTTTGTGGGTTTTGGCAGTTGTACTTGCTTTTTTCTTCTGATGTAATCTCACACACTCTGTGATGTTTGGGTCAGGGCTCTGTGGGGTACAGACCATCTGTTGCAGGGCTCCTCATTCTTCTTAGAATACATCTCTTTATGTTTCCTAGTGATTTTTTGGACTTGCTACCTTGTGTGTTTTTGACTAATGCGGTCTAATGGAGGACAACTGAAACATTTAGTCAGGAAACTTGGCTCAGTGCTGTCCTTTTTTAAAGTATAAAACAATGGAATGAGTGTTGTACATAGCTTCAAATGGACAAGCAGCTCACATTTAATCTGAAGGCAGGAATCAATGCCATTTACATACATACGAAACTGTAAACATGAATAAAGGCAAAGTTGCGCTAGCTTCCTGAATCTTTCTGAACTGCCTTCCAAACTGTGTAATCATCCTTCTATTGAAAGACCTTAAAGAGAGGAACTTAAACAGATATGTGATCAAAAGGTAAATAATGATCTGCATAGAACACATGTACTATGTACAGCAATGTCTTGTATCTGGATGTATTTAAAGCTAATGACTAAGATGATGAGCATAGATACCCTATCACTGTCACGTGTTGGTCTACACTGAGTAATGGGAAGACCAAAGTGACTGGATTTAAATAAAATCTTAGTAAATGTCAGTTAAAAAATGGCCAGGTGCCTAATATTGACACACCCATATTAATGGAATATGTGAAGTCCTCATCAATGTGTCAGTAAAATACTTTATTTGAAGAGGTATCCATTATTTATCCTGCACAGGGTGAAGGCTTGATATATGCAAAGTTCAAATTCTATTATAACGAAAGGAATTTGTTTTGTTGTTGCTTTTGTTGTTTGTTGGGTTTTTTTGGGGGGGGGGGCTTTGGATCATTTTGTGGTGGGTGAAACCTCCCTAAACATGCCTAACAACACCCCTGGGTGAGACACAGCAAAAACTTAGATAAGCGAAGATTCGAAATTGTCTTTTACGTCTACCTAATGTGCTTTATATTATATTGTCTCTTGGCCCACTCTCCACAGTTCAACTCCCCTGTGTGGAATTTACTAAGCACCAGAGGTGCCAGCTCAGCCAAAAAACTCACAGAGCAGCGAAGGGGAGCCTGAGAGAAAAATCTATGACATAGCTTTCAGCTAAATCTCCTAAATTTGTTTGGGCTGGCCTAATAGCCTAACTGGAGCAGAATCTGATCGGAATCATATTGTTATTGTGTGCATCATCCCTAATGGCTAAAGTTAATTATGAGGATATTTCATCAGTTTTAATGACACAGGGACACCATTTACTATCAGAGCTTTTGGTGCAGCAGGCAGGAAGCGACAGCAAGCGGGAATAGACAGATTGCAGAAATGACAGCAGAAGTCAGCCGCAATCCATCCTCATTTGTGTCTTCCCAAATGCAGAAAGATAACAGCAAATAGGTACAGTATGAAACGGCAAAAACTTGTGCCATTTCATTTGTTGCCGAGGAGAAAATCAACCCATTCATGCCAAGCCTGTGTCTGTGTGACGCCTGTACAGTGACATCAACCAAAATTATGAAGGATTGTGAAAGAGGAACAAATCCAATAGTTTGACGTGTATGTAGTATGTACGTCTGTCCCTGTGCGCCATGTTTGACCCACATCAGCCAACACATCAATGGACATTTGAAAAGGGTGGCGGAGGAACAGCTGAAGATCTGCCTGAAACTGTCCAATTATTACTCAAACAACTGTCTGTGGACATACACACAAATACACATTCTGAAACCCAAATAACAGCCCATCCCCGAACAGCCTGTCCTCATTAGACAATCCCTTTCTCTCTCCCCTCTCTCTCTCTGGAGTACCTTATCTATAAATAGCCCATGCCCTTCCACCCTCCCCACAGGGAACACAGAGACCTGTCAAGGTGGGACCCCTACTGCAAAATGATAACACCGAAACCCGACGCACGCACACACGCAGAGTTCAAAGAGGGCTCAGAGGCAATGGGACAGCCTGTTACACTATGAGAAAATATGCCAAAAGTGCCCCAAACCACGCCAGAGGTGATATGTGTGTGTGTGCGCATGTGTGCATAAATGCATGCATGTGAATGCGTGTACTGGGCAGGCCTCCCATTCAGCTTTATTTGGCACGCCTAAAACAGTTACTAATTTTCCTTAAAAGGTCACTTTTTATATTATTTTCTGATAAGAGTTAGCCTACCTAATGTAGAAAAAGCGAGATTATGCTTCTGGTTTCACCAAAGAGTCTCTTAACAATAACTGGCTGTGTAGGTTCAGTGTCTTAACATGTGAGGATTCTAAGTCCAGCATGATGAGCATTATCTTGACAGCAACAGCTGTAAGCTGCTGAGGCGGGATGACTCAAAAGACTGAAAAAGGTTCAACTTTTGAAAATGCTGCTTTACATTAAATGTGCATTGGGCACGTTTCAATTAACGAGCCATGTCGATTAAGCTCCATGGTGTGGTCGGCGGGAAATGTAGGTCGTGGTTCACATGGCAGCAGGAGATGGAGAAGAAACCGCAAGATAGAAATAAAAAAACTAAAACAGAAGACCTAAAGAAAACTTGACTGGGCCGTACAGAAAAATAAAAAATGAATAAATAAGCATTGGTCTTTGCTTCGTAGAGTATGCCTCTTATTCACCATGATAACAAGCCATCAACCTCATACCCTCATAAGGAACACATGAGCCACAACTCCATGTGGTTGCCACTTATATTCACAAATACTAAAACCCTTCACTGTCATTTGAAAATAGCATTGTTTGGTCAAACAATACTACCAGAAAATGACATGCATTTCAAAGTATTTTAAGAGCTTGGCTAACTCTCTCATAGTTTTGTTGGCTGTGATTTTCACATGTAAGCACCTCTATGTTTGGATTTAATCAGTGCCATCCCTTGGCCAGGTTCAGGAGTTAACACTACTTTGTGAGGGTTAGAAATCTTGGCCTGAACTTTTTACAACCACACCAGAAACTTCATCAGTGCTGTTTTGCCACCATACATGTCGTAGCTCTTATGGGGTCTATAGGCTACGTACCTATGGGACATTTTTGCCAGCACAAACATGCTAGCCATCAAAAAAGATTTTTAACAATTACCATCTGTCATTTGACGACACGTCTTTTTTAAAGGTCAACACTGGCTGTGAGTGCAGAAACGATGAGCGTCTTTTTTATTTTCTTTTTATAGGGGTTACATCAGGCAAGTGGAGAAAAAATATATACATGAATCTTGTAAATCCATCTGTTTTGGTATATAAACCATGCTCCCAGATTGCAAATCCATGTGGCTATGGTTCGCAAGAGTGGAATATTTAAGATTAACATGAATCTGAATGAGCAACAAGCATGCAAAGTAACCTTGACCAAAGTGGATCTAGAACAAAAAAAAAATGACTGTGTACCATCACCAAATTTAAAAGAACACGAGTACAATTAAGTTAATCATAACGTTTTTATTTTTTAAGGTTAATTTTTATTTTTGAATTAAAAAAAAAATCTCTATTGATGTTGCTGTTCCAGAATCAAAGCTTAAAAAATGGTGTTGTTTTTTTGTAGAAAGTTGGATTTTAATTTTTTTGCGTACAACAGAATTTCATCATTTGACAGGGACATAGAAAATAAAGGATTAAAGCATGCAGCCTGTGTGAAGTGTATCCATGAAGGCTAACTTAACTGTAAATACATTGTCTTTTTGTTTTCACACTAAAAAAGAAACACATTACAGAACAGGAGTGGAAGTAAAGCAGAAGATCATGGCTGAAGTTGAACAAGCACTATCTCAGTTGAAGATATGTTGGGTGTGAAGGTAAGTTGTGTGCTTCACTGTGGGATTTGTTTTCAGCATTAAATCATTTAGTTAAAATGCGAAGAGGATGAATTGGCAGACAAAAATACATCCTTTCACATGCACGAGTTTGTAATAACTGAGAAGTGAGATCCAAAGCCTGTTGCTCCTGAAACATTGATGATCTTCAAAGACTATCTTCGGTTTGCTGAGAGGTAAAGAAGCCACCATGTAATGCCATCAGTTAAGCTGTTTTATTTCACATCCTTATAGAGCTGATACTCTTTACCTTTCAGTAGGACAAGAACTGAGAAGGCTTAAAGGTGAAAATATACACATACATATTTGGTCATGTTTTTCATGGCTTTGCCAAGTAAATAAAACTAAGAATGCAAGTATTTTTTGTTCTTCTTCATTGAAAATGCAGTCTAATCTCTCCATGTTCCGGACAGACATGAAAGTGAGCCAGCACTGCATCCTGTAACTTACTTACATATTAAATGTATTTTTTTAAAAGCAAGTCATTAGGCTAATGATAATAATTTCACATTGCTTCTGGGAGAGATGCATAAACCAGCAGCTGTGCAATAAAACATTGGATTTTGTCTTTTCTAATGTCAATTATTACCCAGCCATGACCACACGTTTCAGGCTTTACCATATTCTCTAGGACACTTTTTATTGCTAAAACGACAGAAGACAAAAAAAAAGTGGGTCAGGCTTTATTCTACCTACTTTGGCACCCACTGCAGGATTGTACAAAATGTACACCCCTACCACACAATAATATACATATAAAGTATGTTAAAACTTTGAAAATGTTGATTGTCTGACAGTTCAAATCAACAAACCTTTAATCTGTACTCCAAAACAGATTTGAAAACTTTACCATATAGGAAGCCTGTCTGAAATATACAGCTTGTTTAACTGAACAGTCAATTTGATATATACGTCCCTAAAGAAAAGGGGTAGAAAAGTAAAAATAGCAACTAAACATAACGTAGATGAGCTATATGGTTACACCCACAAATCTTTTACAGCCATCCTGCCATGTTGAATTATTTTTATATAAACACACAGCTTCTGATTGTAAGTTTTTACAATAATTAAATCATTACCAATGGGAAGAAAGTGTTGATTATTGTTTGAGAAACAAGTTAGATGACGTGTGAGATAAAGCGCCTAGCAGCCATCACTAAAATTACAACACAGAGCACATCAACACTGGCTTTACAACTGTGCTACTACAGCCATTTCTGACATGTATTATACAGCATAGCAGGGCAGTGTTACTTTATTGCCTCATGGCTGTACTCTATTTCAAGATCAAATTAGGTGTATATGGGGTTCCTTATTATTTAAGTCACTGGTGAACACCAGAACAAACTTGGATTTAATTTGAATTCTAGAAAGATCCTGTTGAAACTAAATAATCTGTTCTCCCAGTCTGCAGAAAGTTCAGTTTAAGGGAGCCAATTTGGCACAGTCAACTGAAAAGTTACAGACCTTAACTTTTGTTTAACCCATTTATAGTTTGCCTCTGCAGCCTGCCTGGGTTTGCAAGCAAGCTGTGCGTGAGAAATCTTTGCAATCAGTGTGAGGTGTCCATTGTTTTAGTCGGAGGACGCTAAACTGTCCCCCAAAAGAATGAAGCACAACTTCCTTTATCTTTCTGTCTTTTCCCATCTCCCCCACATCCCTCAGCTCTTCTCATTTGCCACATAGTCACTTCCCCTTACCTCGCCCCGACACCCCCTGCCTTTCTGTACTGTCTCTCTGGTCCTCTCAGCAGTTTGCCCTTGTCTCCATCATGTACACTTTTGAGCATTTGTCAAATATGTAATGGGGGAGGGGGGTATTTCCTATAAATGGATTATCTTTATCTCCTCTTTTCACACCAAACCATCATCAACAGATGCATTTTCTCTGAGTGAGTCTGCCTGTGGGTGGCTCTATGTGCATTTGATGGATGATGCACGATATAGGTCATTTAAATAGTTGGCAACAGAGTTCCAGAGGGCTTGCTGCATTGAATTAAAGATGCACACAAAAAGGAGGAAGTAAAAGCACACACGTGTGGACAACAGGGTGCGTGACCCGACGGATGGACCGGTCTCCAACATCTGAACTCGGTTAACAGTTTTAGGATGCAGATTTCCACGGGCTTTGACGGCATTGCGCAAATGCACGTGCAGCTTTAAGAGTCATACGTGCAAAAATTCCAAGAACCCCCCTTTCGCCTCAAGCCCACTCCTCCCACTCCGCGCACAACGCGCGCACGGAATACCGGGGCATGCCCAAGCGAGGCATGCAGCTGTCAGTTCCGCTTCTTCCAGCAGAGAGACCTTGACAGTTTAAACTCACCCAGCTCATCGCTGCATGTGACAGGCTGCGTGTGTGGAAGCACCGCTGCCATGCCAGCCTGCTTATGACCCGATAAGCACGACAATCTGTGCAAAATCGACGGATCACAACCCGAGCGGAGGCCCTCCTCGCCTCGCCGCAGTCGCCCACGCTTAAACTAGAGACCGACACGTTAAATATTCCATAATCCAATGGTGCAATAAACACCATTAAAACGTTTAGCATTCTTCCCGTCGGGACAACAGGCTACGGATGCGTAGCCCAGTTTCTCTAAACTCCATTTTGTGTCTCTTCTGACCAACCTGACACTCGGGGACACAATAGGGGGAAGCCAGGGAGACCTTTAAAAGAGACGTGGTGGGGAGATATACAGGGGAGCACCAGAATCACCTGCTGACATTCAGACAGTTTAGAGCGGTTGATCCGTCGGGTTTGTTCGTCTGTCACATCAGCAAATATCAGGGTCAGTTAATCAAATAGGCCTGTGTTACAAAAGCCACACTCACAGGCATGAGTGTGCACACTAGGCCTGGCAAAGTTGCCAGCCTATCACACCAATCGATTATCTGACTTTGGCTTAGACTGGATTAAGTCTAAAAAAATTAGGGCAATTTATGGATGTAAAACGACACAGGGGGGGTTACTAGGACGGTCCGCTATACGATGCCGTAAATAGGCTACAATGACAGAGGGATGAAAAATCCTTGAGTCTCCGAGAGAGAAGTCCCCCACATTATCTTATCCTCCCCCTCTCATCCATCCGAGCATCGTTGCATGGAAGCAACATCATTCGGCGACAACCATCCACATCCGCACCACAACACCAACCATCGCAGGTCACGCGTAACATTCATTTACCTTTATGTCTGCCTTTCGCCGTCATCGTCACACTGCTTGATGTTTCATTGGAACAAGACGCTCATCTCCCTCTCTCCCTCAGTGCCTTATCCTCTCTCTGTCACACGCCTGTGTGTGTCTGTGGGGTGGTATTCAGTAGCACGAAACCACCGCTAGGAGTAGAGCGCGTAGCGAGCTCATGCAGCAGAGGCTGTCGCGCAACTGCCTTGGCTATACATAGAGGAGACATCCCCCTGATAGAATATGGGGTAGTGCCTCGGCGAGGGGGTGAATTCTATTAGAATAACGAGGGAAGACCCTGATTGTGGCGTACCGTACTGGATGCCCCCCCCCCCCCTCACCCCCAACCCAATTCCCCCAACCCCCTCACCCCACCCCCCCTACCCCACCATCATCTCCTCCCCTTTAAAGGTTCAGAGGTGTATGCATGCCAAAATATCCCTTTTCCTAAAAGGCGTTGTGATATTAAACGAGGGTTCCACTCAGTTAAAAACAAACTAAACCAAAAACGTGCGAATAAAAGACACTGGTGCAACAACAGGGATGCAAAAACAAAAAAACAACAAAAAAACAAACAAACGATGGGTTATGGCGGTATTATTGGCACAGATGAGCTCTCACGGGCCGTTCAGGATTTGGCACGCTACATTTGATCACCCGGTCGGTGGAACTTGCGTTGCAGTCGGACATCCTGGAGTCGGAATGGGATAAGAGCCGAGGGGGACTGAGGAAGGGGGCGGGGGGGGGGGGGGGGGCTCCCTCTTCTGTCAGGGTCCGAGACTACTATACACGCAGTTGCTGGGTGTCTTTCTTTCTGCAGAAGTGGCATCACTCGGTGGAGTCTCTGCGCTTTCTCAGGCGGGGGAAGCCTGCTGCGGCGCCTGTGGTGACTTTGGGGGAGGATAGGCGAGCACGTAGCCTCTGTGGTGGCATGTTTGGATCCAGATTTATTTTTTTCTTTCTTTTTCTTATTGTGAAATGGGCGGGGTGGGTGATGTCGCGCTGTAGCAGTGCTTGTGGTGGCGGAACAGTAACGGTTCTCTACCTCTCCAGGACGCACCGCCCGTAAACGGTGCCGTGCAGCTGGCAACACCCCGGAATGGCGAGAGAAAGGAACTCCCACGCAGGTTCACGCACACGCGGCGATGCATACACACAAGACAGCCCGCACACATACACACGCTCAAGACTCATACTGCCATCCCGTGGAGACAACGATTATAGGGCCGTACAGCTGTGAGACTGTGGAGGGGGAAGTCGTGCGTTGGGTACGTGCATGTGTAACTATACAGTAACATGCTTAAACTGACAGGTGATCACGTGAGCCTAAAGGTTTACTTGACATAAATATATTAGATAGATAGATAGATAGATAGATAGATAGATAGATAGATAGATAGATAGATAGATAGATAGATAGATAGATAGATAGATAGATAGATAGAT